GCCCCGTCCCGCCCCGCGGGCGCCTTCCCGCGTGGCTGAGGTGTTGCTGCGCTGCCTCGCCCCTACCTTGGAGAAGCACGTACCCGTGTTAGATGAGATCCTGGAGCAGGCCAGGAGGGCTCACTGACCTGATCCTCTAGTCAGGAAATCATGCAAAAGCTGGCTGGCTATCAAGATCTTCCTGAGCTGAACGTACAGCAACTGAGCATGGTCTGCCATGGTTTCTTTATGGGGCCAGTTCCTATCCAGTCACTGATTCTCATGAAGTTTGTGTTAACTGCCTTTGAAATTATTTATTTCTTTCAGGACTGAAAGCGTCCTGTAGATTTGAAAATTATTAGGTGGCCTGGCAGAAAGTACAGTTGCGCAAGCCTTGTTTCCCTTGCCAACCAAGCTAAAATATTCTAATCTTGCATAATTTCACTAACATAAAGCATATCCTTTACCAATAACAATATTGAAAGTGTAGCAATACACATTGGTATGAAAATAGATGTATACAATCTAAAAAAAGCATGACACTATTTTAAAGCAGTTTTAGTCCAACTTTTATTACATTGGATCTTTGCCTACAGCCACTGCAGACTTTGGCCAAACTCTTAATTCAGTTATTTCTTGCTTGCGGTCCTTTGGAATCCTTTTATCATGTTAGGAAGGGATCTTTCGAAGTCTGATCCTTAAACTTTTTTTCAGTTTTGTTCATATCTCAGTGGAAAACAGCGGTAAATACAAAACAGTGTTGCAGTCCTTCAGGACAAAAAAAAAGAGAATCTATAATGTAATACTTTTAAAGCAAAAGCAGTGTCTGTTTGAGTTTGCAAGAATAGATCCCAGGTTATTGAATCTGAAAATAGGTAAAATGGAATAAAAGCAAATCATAGGTTCCTCCTGCCTGCCATGCTCTTTATTGTCCTTCTCTAGTTCTTTCTGTCATCGACTTCCCCTGTCTGAAGAATAATATGAGTTATCTTCATAGCCTTCTGAGCTGATCCTGGCACATTTAGACATCAGTACAGTTCATCATACTCAAGGCTAAGATGACAATACAGTGACAAAACTGTTTCAAAATAGGCAGCTTGTTTACAGTTTGAGGGGGTTTTTTCTTAACTAAAACTACATTCTCTGGAACAGCTTATTTTTCATATGCAAGTTTTATATCAGCTTCTGTAAATCATGATAAAAGTAGTTTATCCAAGTCATTTACCTCCTGTTGTACTTGAAGGTAACTTATGGTATGGCATCATTAATAACAACAGCATCCAAACCATTGCTCTTCCATGTATTACCAAAACTTCCAACAGATATCTACAGGAACAAAGTAGGTCATTTAGAAGAAAGCCTTGAAAAACGCCTTGAAAGACTGCCTGATGACAGCTTGTACTCTGAAATATCATTACTTCTGTCTGATAGTTAGTAAGATGGAAAACTAGAGTATGTTCTCACGCAGGAGCTTTGAAATTTCCTTTAAAACAAATGCTTGTGGTTGTCTGAATCGTTAATATTTAACTGATATAAGTACTGTATTTTTTCTTGTTTGATTTACCAGCTATAGTGTTTGATTCCCACTTAAATTAGCCTTGAATATTTATAGAGTGGAAAACAGGCCTATGCCATTTGCCATGCAAGCATCATTCTCTGGCTAGACTGTCAAGGCTCAGGAGGCAAAGACTTGGTTTGTGCTTGAATTAGGGTGAAGTTCAGTCTTGCCTACAGCTCGTTACACTTAAAGCAATGGCTTTGTCTCTCCATGCCTCAGCTTTTCTTTCTGTGAAATACATGAAACTGTACATTCTCCACTTTCCCAGCCATTAAAAAAAATTGTTACAAAATACTGTATGTAAAAAAATGGCTGCCATATGCATCTTTGTCCACAATATGAATTAACAGACCAAGGAGTTTTCTGACCAACAGGCACATGGCGCAGTGCAAATTGTCTCCACGCTCCAAAGCTGTCTGCCTCCAAACAGGGTATCCGCTTCCGAACTGCCTAATAGGTTTCCCTGAACCATACCCAGCATCATCTCCGCAGTGCTTGCTGGCAGGGAGCATGCTAAGGGCATGTTTCTGCTTATATAGTGCAAGACTAAAGTCACCATATTCATTATTTATGTAGCTGTATTAAGTATCACTGTAGTTTCCATAGAATCTTTTTTTAGCCTTAATTACTTTTATATTATTTACCAATCTAATTCAGTCTAGCACAGTCTAGCTACTGTGCATTTCATATTATGTGAATTCTTTATATTCCAATGACTAACAAATAGCTCTGACGTTCAGGGGTAGGGTAACGATTGCTTAGGGAAGCTGTACACCAAGCAAAATATTTGGAGGGGGAAAAGTACAGTTTGGGATTTAAGAATTCTGGATTATTTCGTGGTTTTACCCCAAACTATTACTAATTTTGAACAAGAACCTTAAGGGGAAGTTTTGCGACTAATCAGGGTAAATAAGGGTGTCAGGATCTAGCACTTATATATATTTCAGCTCATTATCCTGAGGGAGACAGGGATATCCCTTTTGTATTACCACAAAGGTACTGTCTTTGGCATTTTGGGGGTATCTTTACCCAGAAGTATAATTTTCTAATAAAAAGTGCTATTTTAAGCCAAGGTTTTCTTTTTAACGCTAGGATTAAAGGGCAGAAGCATAATATGATTCCATACTTTTTGCAGAGGTGGAATTAAAATCAGAGGCAATATGCTAATTATATCTTAAGCCATCTCTGATGGAGTTGGGTCTTAGAGCTATTAAAGTAAGGACAGTTTTTTTAAGGAGCTGGAGTAGTTGCTGGAGAGTAAATTGTTTTACCATATCAGCAGTTCTTTCTCCACACTTTCAGCAATACTAGCCCATACAGCTGTATACAAGGAAACCAATTTTTACAGCTGATAGCACAGAATTACAAGCTAATTTAGTAAGTCAAAAACAGATTGTATACAGTAATGAAAGACTGTTACATTTGACTATAATGTATAGAATTATATGCATCACAATTTTAATTTTATGAAATTTAATGAATTAAAAGATTCATTCTATCAAAATCACTAAGACAAAATTTAAGATTTGTATTTATGTTATTCATATACTTTAAATAAATTTGCATTCTTAAAAATGAAGATGAGAATTTAATGATGAGAATTTAATTTGTAGGGGACAACATTCTCAAGTTAGAAAGAAATGGGAAATATTTAAAGAAATCTTTTAAAACAGTTAAACAATGAATACAACATTCCACACTCACACATAAGAGAGTTGTTACATTCTAACGTCAGAGAGGCAGTAATCACTCTTGATGCATGATGATAATAATAGCTATCACCAAGCCATTAAACCTGCTAATGTTATTCTCATAGCACAGAAGTGCAGGTATCTGTTTGCCTAGATTTAACTACATGTGAAAAAAACAACAATCAAACCCCCTGTCTTTGTCCATATTAACATGAGGGGTAATTACAGTCTTAATTGAATGCTTTTATAGTAATTATTTTAAGATACAGTGGTAGTAGGTGCTAAGTATTTCCTTCCTACGAAGCAAAACACTATGCAGATGCCTATCACCTTACCAAGGTGGCACAGCCAGCTCTCAGTTTTATGTTGTGATACTGTTCTTCTTAAACTCCTGGAGTTAATGCTGTTTTTGACCCACTTTCCTTTGTTCCTCTCCTATTTATAAACTGAAACTTACACACAAGTGCTACAGGTTCAAAACCAGAAGGCAAAAAAATCCCTAAGATATTGTCAGATTTTTTTTTAAATGAGTATGGTTTGTATATAGAATTAAGAAGTGAGTTTGTGTAAAGGAATTTTTAGAAGAGCATGGAGCTGCATCTTAGAAATAATACACCTGGTGTCCCTGGTTTTTGGTTTTGTCAAAAATGCTTCTTTCCTCAACTATTACCATCAAGAACGCAAAACGTCACTGAAGTGATTGCTCAGAACTAAATAATATGAAGTGAACTTCGTTTCTTTCTTTTTCCCCCTACTGCAGCCGACTGATAAGAGGAGCGTTGCTTTTGCTCATCTGTTGCTCTAGATCCCACTGAGATCCCAGAATGATTTAATGACTCAGCCTCACTAAACACAAAGGCCGAGGACTCAAAATATAACTTTAACGGGCTTCAACAAGAATCTCTTAGTTGCATACAGCCACCTAAAACGTGCTTGCTACGCGTGGGAACACTTGCACCGATACTTGAAGGACGCAAAATAATCCCAGCAGTGCTGTTTCCCCTCAACTTCTTAATTTAAACGGCGGCAACGTCCTTCCTCGTTTGGTACCGGGTGGCTGGTGAGAGCAGCAGCGCAGGGGAGCACCGAAGTGGGGCGGGAACCTTCACCCACCCCGCGCCTCCATTTCCCCCTCCCGGGCCGGCCTCCTCCTACCCTAGGCGGAGGAAGCAGCTCTCAGTGTTTCCAGAGAGAGGGGTTTTTTTTTTGTTGTTTTTTTGTTTTGTTTTGTTTTTTCCCGTCCCCAAAGCGAGGGTCTCGCCGCACGGCTGGGGTTTCCTCCTCCTCAGGCGGGCTCCGCTACCCGCCCTGGCGGCTCGCCGCGCCACTTAATGGCGGCGCCACCTCCTCCTCCTCAGCCCGCAGAACCCTGC